CTTAGGGATGTCTTGCAGGAAGTGAGTCTTGCCAGTTGAAGCAGGGAACAAGCTAAGGCAGCTGCACCCTGGTCTGACCATCAGAAACAAGAGACCCGAGAACTCAAAAGGCAAGGCTCACTGAGCCATTTATCCCTCCGCCCTTCAATTAACCCCACATGTGTTTATCGGCCAGGTTGGCATGATAATCTTTAACTATATCAGACCCTATCCTAATGAGTTGCTGTGGCTCAGAATCAATTAGATGGCAGTGAGTTTGGGACTGTGGAGGTCAAGGTCTCTTTATTTTGTCTCCCTAGTACCTGGCATATGCTCATTAATACTTAAGCAAGGACAGCATTCGTTGTTTCACTGTGGATACTGGTGAAGCTGCAACCAGAAACAAAGGGGAAATAATTTGCATATATACCAGAAAACTATTTTTAGCGATTGTGTGAGCTTCCTTAGATTTCTATTTCTAATGTGATTGCTCTTTCATGAGATCACTGCTCCCTTTCTTTGTTCTTTTTCTAAAGTCTTAGGAGAGATTTTGGCAGTGATTCACTCAGGATAAAGATGGAAGCCCAGCAAAATAAGCAGAGAGGACAATTAGTGATTATAAAGCGTGCTAGCCCACAAAGATTATTTTCTTTCTCTTCATGCACATTTGGTAAGAATGGTTTTCTAGGACTATGTAATTATGGATGAATGACACTGAAATGGTTGAACAATAATTTGTAGGAAATACAATTATGAGCATAAGTCATTCGGGGGAGTAAATGGGCAGTTTGTTGGTTAACAGGTCAACTTTGAGAGCTGAGAGTGGTTAAGCATTGTATTAAATTACAAGTTAAGCGCATAACCCTTTTCAATTTAGGGAAATTCATAAATTATTGAGCTTTTCATTCTCCGTGTCTTGATTTGTGGTATGCAGAGACAGAGAGCTGCCCAATCTGGGTTTCCTAAGAGTTCTGTGAAGTGAGGTGACTCAGATCTGAAATGCACACAGTACTTCCTTCATCTGAGTGGTTGGTAGGTCAATCTTGTGTGGCATTTAAATACTGCTTGCAAAGTAATTAACATAATTTGGGGGGTACCAACGTTAATTTGGTACAGTTAGTTTACAGCTATTTCCAGAGCCTGGGAATTCAATTCCTTGTCCAGTTCTCGGTCCTGAATTCAAAAGACCTGATTTCTGAGCCTGGTGCTGGGGGATCTTATAGCAGTGTAATCTTGTTTTTGAAGAATATTAGTTTTCTAATCTATATACTCTGTTGGAAGAAAAAGGAAGGAAGGAAGGAAGTAAAGAAGGGCCCTTACTTTAGTGTAAAGCTCCCTTTTATGGGCTAAGTTTCATTGTATGTATGTTGTTTTTTCCCCCCTGATACTTACAATGTTCTGTATATTATGTATTTCCATGATCTGATAGAGATTTGCAAGCGATTTTTCAGAAGACAATATATCAAACTAATAAAATTAAAATAATTTAAATCACAATGAGCTGAATGCTAATCACATACCCTGGATTGTGTTAGGAATTGTGACAATGTAAAGGAAATAAAAGGCAGTGGGCCTGCATTTAAATTGCTAACTATCTCTGTGGGAAGATAAGATATATTACTGTATTAACTACTGAATAATTTAGTCTGAAATATATGGAACTGACTATAAGTTATGTAACTCGAGTTTCCTCAGAGCCCCCTGAGCTTCTTCAGCCTGTGGATTTTTCTGCATGGTGACCCCATCCGTGTGTTACAGGTAGAATTGAGCTCTGTAGGGTTGTCTTGGCTGTAATCATTACTGATGTAGAACGCCAATCTTTTCCTCCAGGGTACTGCTGGAGGAGTTCAAACTACCAACCTTCCAATTAATAGTTTGCTTGTACAAACTCTTTGTGCCACTCTGGTGCCTTAGAAGGATGTCGATTTATGTTAATAGTTAAAAATGAATTTCAAAGATTCTTTGATTGTGTTTATTCATTTTGACTTCCCTATCCTTTTGTAAGAATGATTAGTTGAGAAATATCTTTGTTACTTCTACAATTGATTGTGCTATGTGTAGTTTGCATACCAGCAATAAATATTTATTGTCCATTGATTGTGAACAATTGATCACAAAGTTTAACAGCATTTTACCTTTTATAAATATCTTCCTATGCTTGGTCTTTTCTTTGCAGACATTCAAGAGTAGATCATTGAAATCCGCATGTATACGTATATACATACAAATAAACCTTATTTCATTTTATTGTTCCCAAAGGTTAAAACACACAAACACAGAATAAAATTAAAATTATTTTCTTTTGGGATGATTTATGCCTCAATTTTCACCTGCCCTATAATTAGAAATTTTGAACTTTGTAAGAAAAAATTTATGATAAAATTATTGCCCAAGTAAACTTTAGAAATTATATCATTAACCCCAAGACCTTTCTCAGCCTAGTGCAACATTGTTGGCACCAGCTCTTGCTCAAGCACAAATAAATAAAGAGGAAAGTTTAAAATAATTTGAAAATGATTTATTGTAGGCCACCTCTGTAGTTAGCGATTCAAGTCTTATTACTTTACTTTAGTGCAACAAGGGAGGACAGTAACTTGCTGTGGGCTAAGGGTAAATTATGATCTATTGCAAAGGAGGAAGGAAATGTACTAAGCAAAGAGGAAGGAGTTGGAAGTAAGCTATGTATTTTCTGAGGTACAGCTTTAGTTAATGGTTTGAAAAAGCACTTGGCTTTGCCTCTTGCTGGAAAAGGCCAGAGTAAACTATGAGACAGACTACCTTCTTTAATCTTCAGTAGCTAAGGAGTAGCATGCTTGTGTGGAGAGGGATATATGGGTGTGCTTGGGCCTAATATAAATCAAGATCTGCAGAGTCACAAGCCCCTCCTTCTTCAATGTTTTTTTTGTTTTGTTTTGTTTTTAACAACTCCATCTTAGATAGACAGACCATGTTTTAGAGTCAGAAGGGATCATGCAATGCACCAAGGACAGCCTTTTTAAGGTGATTTTGAGTTTCTACTCTCTTTACACATTAAGAAGTAAATTGAAGCCTTCTGATTGGAACTTAGTTATGGGCTTCTGCATCAAAGAGTCAAAGAACCAATGTTTGTTATTTGGAATTAGAAAATGATGGGGGGAACATCATCGTCTAACTGGAGAGAAGTGGGTAAAGACGGAAGGTCTATTATGTGTTAAGGACCAAGGTAGGTATTTCATATATTTTCTCATTAATCTTGAATACTTCAATGAGATATGAGGTTGCTACTACTTTTGGTTTGCAAATGTAAAAGATGACAGCCATCCTTAAGTATATTATCTGAAGTTTCATGCTTTAGATTTTGGCAAAAATGGGAATTTTACACATCACCACTCACTACTCTGAATTGTTTTTATGGCCACTGTGTTAAATATGAAAAAACAAACAAACTAGCATTCAAAAAAATGAAGGCATTCACACTTACTAATCCAGAAGCTTGCCTCCTCAGGCTCTTCTTGCACAAGATTCTTTGGCTAAATAATGTTACCCTCTTATTGATCAGTGAAATATCTCAAAGCACGTTTTGCTTGGGCTGCTCTAGGTCCAGTACCAGAAGTACTTGTCACCCGTCTTCGAGCAGCTGCCCGTGCCGGTGACACCGTGTTGGCTCTGGAAGATGCTGTGGACTGGCACCCTGGAGATGAAGTTGTCGTCATCGGTGGAATAGGTATCGAAGGTGCCAAACCAATGGAAGAGACTGTCATTGTGGAAGCTGTGCACAATGCTGACCTTTATCTCCGGTCACCCTTGAGGTAATGCGCTGTCAGCCTGGCTACATGGTGATGGAGGATGATGAGATCTTAACTGTTTTATGTGCCTGGATATTTGTTGGTCTTTCAAGATACATTTTTACATTACATAATGCTAGACTATATATATATATATTTTATATATATATAAAATCTCATTTGCCATTTCAACAATCTTCACATGGACAATAATTCAGTGGCATTAATTGTTTGTTCTGTTGTGCAGTCATTACCATTAACAGATGCTCAGGGACCCATAAGCAATATGTCTTACTTTCACCCTTGCTCCTGCCCAATCCTGGTGACCACAGATAAACCTGACCATGACACAATGGCCTATTCTAAATATTTTACATATACCTGGAATCACGCAGTTGCTCTTTTGTGCCTGAGTTATTTCACGTGCATTGTTATTAAGGCTGTATGTATCAAGACCTATTTCTTTTGATCTCATTGTATGTACGTACCCCCTTTTGTTTATTAATTTGTTGATAACCGAAACAACAGAAATAAAAACACCTCACTGCCATTGAGCGATCTCAAATCATAGAAACCCTATAGGACTCAGTAGAACTACCCCTTTGGGTTTCTGCACTTTAGGTCCTTATAGCAGTAGACCCTTTCATCTTTTTCTTGCAGAGAGACTGGTGAGTTTGAACTGCTGACCTTGTGGTAAGCAGATTGATGCATAACCCACGATGCCTCCAAAACTATCTATCAACTGATAGACAATTGGATTTTGTTTGGCTACTGAGAATATTAAATAATGAGCATTCATAGATATTTCATAGATTTTTATCTCATTTAATATTTTATACTTATATGAGGGAAGAGAGTGTTATTTGTGATTTGTAACTAAGGAAACTGAAGTGCAGCATACAAGTATTGGTTTGCATTTTTGCTTTTTGTGGCTCTAAGGATCTTAAGACAACCATGACATAAATTTCTCTTGTAAGGAGCGAGACCTGCTTTCCTTTTAGCGCATGCGGTCAGTACAATAATCAGAGCAGTTTCTAATGTTCATGTCCTTGCATCCTCTGTCTGCTCTTCCGTACTTCGAAAGGCATGGGCCCTCCAACAAACAACGGCACTAACCTAACGCGTCACTGTCCCTAATGACCCAGAATGCAACGTGTTCACTTGTGTCTTTCTCCTTTCATTTCCCCCAGATATTCTCATGCCTTCAAAGAGAGCTGGGCGGCTGGGAAGCACCTCGTTTTCAAGGCCACAGTGGCCTTACTCAGCAGGAGTATTACCATCCGAGGAAATCTTACCGTGGCAAGGAGGAGGCACCTTGCTTCCTGCCAGGAGGACACTGCTTCAGCAGGTAGAGGAACGTTTTTCCTGGGGAACTCAAGGAGTGCACCAGAATGCTCTCTCATTGTCACACAGATTGGTGACCCAGGGTCGAACCCAATGAACCCTTAGCCTTTGCACATCCATAATATCCTCTGGTTTCCTGAATCCTCTTGAGAAGTTGGAATTTTATCTTCGTTCATTTCCCCTCACCTTATTTTAAAAGATATAGATTAAAGTATCCATTCTAAAAAGTAATTACATCTCTAGGGGAATTTTTTCCCCCTTTAAGTACTCCATCTGATGATCTTCCAGGGAAAATCTGAATTACTTTTAAAATAAACTCCCTGGTTATAATGAAATCTTAACTTGTTGCCAGGCCCTCCTTTAAAGTCCCCAGGAAAGCCATCAAGCCAGAGTTGTAGCCACAGCAGCACATTCTTACTGATCAGGCTTGCGGGACTCTCTTGCTCTGCTCCTCCCCCTCTGTGTGTGTGTGTGTGTGTTTTCAGTATGATTTCTGAGTGAACTACCACATACTTTAGGTATGTGGCCCCAAAAGTCCATTTATCTTCTAGTAGAATAACAGGCACTGAATCACACTGATGTGCCTATTAAGCATCTATTTCAGGGATGGGTGGTTTTGTACGTTCTGTTTTGGTTTTCCAGCCTGTAGATTATGAGGTTTTCACATGTTGTGAAGACATCATTTGTCAACGTTGGTGCAGGGTGGTGTGCGTGTCAGGGATGACTCCCAGGCACGAACTCTGGATGGATGGTGAGGCTGTGTACTGAGATGGGAAGAACACCGAGTTTCGGGGTGAGAGGGTAAAGAGCACGAGTCTAACGTTGAACATGTTGAGACTGAGGTGCCAGGCCAGGATCTAAGTGGAGAAACGCTGAGTATGGAAGAAATGTCCAAGTTGAAGATAAAAACCAAGGTGTGTCTTCAGAGAGGTGCATATGTGGGCATAATTTGGGGATGTGGTTGGGTGTGGAGAGCTGTTTGTAGGAAGAATTACTTTGGCACCCACTTTCTTTCACTCCCCAGTCATCAAAAACCTGTCATTCTCTGCCAAATGTTTTGGTGACCCTGGATTAGAATTCAGTGACCGTCAAACTTTAGCCATCTGTTGAGTCATGACAGGTGCTGTATTTAAACATGCCTGTTAATTTCTCATACAAGTGGTTCTCCAATCACCATTGTGAAGCAACGTGTTCGATCATGCTGTGAGACCACGCTGTGAGGCTTGTGCCATTATAAACTTAGCTCCCAAATGGTGGGAGAGGGGGGGAACTTTACTTTCACCACATTCTTAAATGTTACTGTAGAAGTCTAAAAATGAATGGAATTCATAGGTCTTAATGAATATCTATTATGTCCCTCAACCCTTCTTTGTATGGCACCGAATATGGCAGTTAGGCTGCTAAATAAAACAATAAGAGGCTTGGCTACTCAAAAATATTATACTTCACATATAGTCATCATCAGAATTGTGATAACGCAAACACAAAACACATCTTTATTTGCCTGTTACTGGATTCATTCTGTGGAGGTTCTGAAATGGATGGTGGATTACTGGGGAATGGACTGGGGATCACTGGTGGTATAGTGGTTATGTGTTGGGCTGCCAAGCACAAGGTCAGTAGTTTAAAATCACTAGCCACTCTGTGGGAGAAAGAGGAGGCTTTCTATTCCAGTAAAGACTCAGAAACTCACAGGAGAGATCCTATGGGATTGCTATGTGTCAGAAAATTGACTCGGTGGCAGTGGGTTTGGTTTTTTATTCGGCGCCAGTACATCATTTTGTACAACTGGCAGGTCTTTGATTCATTAGCCTGGATAGTACAGGGTCAGAAGACGATTGTTTCTCCAACCTGAGGCGAGCTAACACAATCAAATTCCATGCCCATGTGTCAACAGAAAGTGGCCGGGCTCTTGAGGGCATAGCACATTGTAGCAGCAGTAGTGGTGGGCATTACGTTAGTTCGTGTGGTCCCTGATCACAGGACTGACCCCAAGAGGTGCTGGCAGCAAGGTTCAGGAAGAAGGTGCTGCTCAGTTCTTTCTCTGGGGCCCTTTGCCATTTCTGCAGTGGTTTGATGGCTAATCTCTCCCACCAGAAAGCTGCTCACCAAGGGGAACCCCCATTGGACAGCTTCCGACTCAAAAGTGCTGTGATTACATTCCATGCTCCCATTTCTTCCCTGCAATTATCAATCCTGCAAGGTCGTTTTATTGCACAATTCCTCCAGGGGATCCTTTGGATTGAAATAAGCATCTCTTTAGCTTGGGCTTGTGGGTTATAGTCTGTCTCTTTGTGACAGTAAATTAAGATGATTGATGTGAGGGTTTCTGGAAATAATAGAAGGAAGGCAACATCATGTCCCAGTTACCGAATCTTTTAATGAATAATCTACAGAGGATAATCAAAGTGAGAAGGAAGTAAAGCATTAGGTGAACGAAACAAATCTGGTTTGTTCTTTGTGCTGGCAGTGCTGTTCAAACTGGGAGCTATGTCTAGAAGCTTGTTCGGCAGGCTTCAGGTTCCCTTGACATCATTTTGTGCTTCAGGTCATCCACAGGGCTGTTTGTATTCCAAGAGCGAGAAGAGGCTGGGATCCATGGACCTGGGGGCCAGAGTCATCATCCAGTCTTTTCCAGAAGAGCCCAGCCAAGTCCGGCTGAGGGGTGTCCAATTCCGGGATTTGGGGCAAGCCTTCCAGAAGCATCTGAGCTCGCTGGCTTTGGTGGGAGCTATGAGAGGTAAGAGGGTGCAGGCCCACAACTCCTCATGTTTCTTTCCTCTCTTCTCCCATGTCGAAGGTGTATGTGCAAGGGATTGCGATGTGGGATATGAAGGATTCAGAAATGGATAGTTATTTATTTTGAAGCCATTTATACTGCAGCTTCCAGAGTCATGGTAGCACAGTGGGTTAAACATTTAGGCTTACAACTGAAAGGCTGGTGATTGGAACCCAGCAGTCATCCTAGGTAGACAGAGGATGAAGCAGTCTTTCTTTCATTACAGCCTCAGTTCACTATAGAGCAGTTCTCCTTAGTCCATTAGGGACTCTGTGGGTTGGAATCGACTGCTGGCAGTGTGTGGGGTTTTGAGGATTCAGCGTAGCTCGGCTCTTCTCAAGCCCCTGGTTACCTTTGGGCAGACTCTGACTCCTGGGAGCCCCGTGTGTTAAGAGTAGAACACTGGTCCATAGAGTGTCGTTGGCTTATTTTCCAGAAAGAGGATTGCCAGGCCTTTCCTCCAAGATATCTCTGCGTCGATTTTGAAATCCAGTCCTTTTGTTAGCTGCCAGGACACTCACGGTTTGGACCAACCAGAGATGCCGGTCCAGCAACATGGTGGTTGTCAGTAGGTGTTGTGCTGTTGGTTCTGACTCAGAACAACCTTTTGTGGAACTGAATACAACACTGCCCAGGTCGGTGCCATCCTGACGACTGTGGCTACATTCGAACCCCTTGTTGCAGTCACTCGTTCAATATATCTTGGGGAAGGTCTTCCTCTTTTCCACGGACCCTCTACTTTTCCCAGCAAGATTTCTTTCCGCAGCGTTGGAAGCCTCCTGACAGCACATACAAAGTACATGGAGTCTCACCAGTCTCCCTTTGAAGGAAGATTCTGGCATTCCATGATATACTCAATATTCTGCACCAAGACCAAAATTCAAAAGTATAATTTTTTTAGTCTTCTTTATTCATTGTCCAACCTTTGAATGCCCATGGGGTAATTAAACATATCACGTGGCTTGGTCCAGGTGCATCCTAGTTCTCAAAGTGACATTTTTGCT